GAAATAAAGATATTATTATTATTATTATTATTATTATTATTATTATTATTATTATTATTATTATTATTATTATTATTATTATTATTTCGTGTACAATTTCAGAGTAACCTACCCAAATGACTTCAGATCTTCAATGCAGGTCAACTATAACTTGGCAAAATGTTAATGGAACTATTGGTCAGTTTTAAATAGACAATTCCATATTTCGATTTCCACACAATAACTTCAGGAAACTTCTTCTGATAGGCTTTAAGCCTACCAGAAGAAGTTTTAAGAAGTTGACACTGCTGGAGGAACGTGCAGTTGCCATATTACCAATTTTAATTTTGAAATAATACATTATTATTTTCCATTAAATATCTGTAGCTCTTCTGAATGGCGTCAGTCTTTTATGAAATGGATGAATTATTTTTAGATTTAGGCTGTATGTGTAAATTTCTTAGTGTACTAACATAGTTAAATTAACTCGTAATTATTAGGTTCTGTGCTGTAACTAGATTATTATTATACTCTAAAAGAAGCGCTAAACCACAAGGGCTATACAACGCTGCTGGCGTAACTAGAAAATGCATTTTCTGGTTGGCTTCAAACTTTTAGTACTGATATTTTTTTTTTTCTCAAAGGAATCTTCGCCTTAATTTTGGGTTGTGAAAGTTTTACTTTACAAATTTTATGAAACAAATTGGTTTTCATGAAATAACTGGGGAATATTTCCTCTGTTCAACTTCAGCCGGAAACTCTGGTCACTCTCAGAGAAAGACGTTTGAATTGATTTTGTTCACTGTAGATCTGTATTTCCATTTTTACTGAAGAAATCTGGAAAATTAAATACAAACTTTTATGCAATAATTTGTGAACGCCAATGTTTTTTTTCTGGCTACAAAACTTCAGTGGTAATATAGTTAATATAATGGAGGTTGTGGGCAGCTTCGTCCATCAAGCGAATTCTGGGATATTGTTCTCGCTGAGATAACTAAATTATTATTATTATTATTATGGGGAGCGCTAAACCCGTAGGGATTATACAACACCTTTTTTTTTGGGGGGGGGGGGATGGAAGGCATCCAGGCTTAATTCAGGGAACTGAAGCACACATCCAGTTCCCTAGATCACGATCCCCTCACCAGCATCAAGGAACCTCGGTTCAGGGGATAACTAGAGAGTCTCTCTTTTCAAAGTTTATTCTCTATAAGGATTACAATGCTGAGTTTACAGAAATTTGGTTATTGTTTGGTTTACATGTAGTACAATTGTGATTACAGAGTGTACCACTAGAACGCTTAGCATGGCTAGGCATTTCGGGCATACTTAGTTTTATTCTTAATTGTAAAATATTACAAATTATGAGGTAAGTTGGTATTATGGCTAAGTGACTAAATACTAGTTTGTGAGTTTAGCAATGTGAATGCTTTTGTTTTGGCACAGTACATAGTTTCAGTATTGGAGTATCACAGGATTCATTATTTTAAGACTGAGATTAATATTTCTGTTTATGGTCAAATGAGTGAGTGAATGGTCGGTTTTAACTTTTAAAACCTGGTGTTTCTTTGAGGTGTTGAATTAGTTTTCAGCTGTGTCGTCCTGATTTCGTCCTGATTTGCAACTTTTATTGAAAAAATTAGGATATTTTTTCCAAGCGATAAATCGTGAATTCTTCTTCTGATTCGCATAAAATCTTCAAGAATTATATTGAATTACATTAGGAACTTACGTCAAACTGCATTATTCCTTTTACATGCACTGAGGTAGATGGAGCTGGGATTATGCAGTATGGGGATGCTATTACCGGAATGCACAACGACCAGAATATATTGAGCTTTTATTTCCTATGATGACGCCAGTGGCATTATTTTTAATTAATTTATTTGTTTATTTATTTATTTATGTCTTTGCAAATAGTACATTGAGATTTTGTATTTACAATAATGGGTTGCAATACAAAGAGATCCTCTATTATGCTTAGGCTTTGTGGGCCGACTTAACATCCATTTATTTATTTATTTATTTATTTATTTATTTATTTATTTATTTATTTGAACATGATACATTGAAGTACAAAGAAATACAGTAGTTAAGTGTAACATACCAATGCCCCTTGTATGCAGAGCATTATGGGCAGGTTTAATTCCTGCAATATTCAGTCATTATTAGTGACCTGCCTGCACCTCAGAAATTCCTGTTTCCAAGGGGGGGGAGGTGTATCCCCTAGTATATCTATGCAGAAAATGACACTAGCTTCTAAGGCTGACAAGAGACGCCGGTACGTACTGGTCATGGGCTGCCTGCCGTCACAAAGGTCCACAGCTCAACTCACTCGCAGTTTCCCCCCAAAAAACTGGCCAGAATCCCGAGAAGAAAAAGGAGGTCTTGTCTTACTGTATAGGCCTGATGGAGGAGGACATCTACCATACGTCGAGGTGCCTCCACCAGATTTCCCCAGGTCTAGTATGTGAAGACACGTGGGGGTGCCACCTGCTGATCATGGCACTTGTTGTTCTGACGGTGTCTGGTCTTAGAAGAAGGGCACTGCGGTCTCAAAACCCCGTGCCCAGCATTCAAACTTGGGCTGCCAGTTCTCCCTGGCTAATATAACCTAGTGTTTGCCTACATTATCTGCCTATTACTACCTACGTTAAGGTCTTAGGTCTACATTATTATTATCTACAGTTGCCTCAATAATCCTAATATTAGTGTACTAACAGTATAAACTACCTACTTCTTCCCTGAAGGGCAAATATATCAATTAAGATGTACCTTTCCAACCACCTTCGCCAACCAGGGTGTGTGTGTGTGTGTGTGTGTGTGTGAGTTTTGGGTGGGTGTAAAGGCCACCCAACCCAGCCGTTCCATCCACGACCTGATGGGATCTTTGTACAGCGTATCTGCCCTGTGGAACTTTTGGAAATTTGTTGTGCATGTGTTTGAAATTTGAGTCTATTATCAAGGTGGATTCCTAAGAATTTTCCCTCTGTGAGCTTTGTGACAGGTGATCCGTTATCATTATGTTAAGAGGGACATCTCTAGCTCTGTTACCAAACTGAATGAAGTAGGTTTCGTCAATGTTGAGAGTAAGTTTGTTAGTCATCATCCAGGTAGATATTTTCTGTAATTCGGTATTCACAGTATTGGCTAGCATGACTGGGCTTGGGTGAGAGAAGACGTATGTAGTGTCATCTGCAAATAGTGTGGGTTTGAGTAGTTGTGATGCATTTGGTAGGTCATTTATGTAAACGAGAAAGAGAAGAGGGCCAAGGACACTTCCCTGTGGGACACCAACTGTAATTGGCTGTGTGGAAGAGTTTGCTCCATTTGTGTACACATATTGGCTTCTGTTGCTGAGGTATGATTTTAGGTAGTTGAGGAAGTGCCCTCTTATACCATAGTGCGACAATTTTAAGTGGAGAAAATCATGGTCAACTGTATCAAAAGCTTTATGTAAATCAATGATGATCCCCAGTGTATATTTGTTCTAGCATGTGTATAATAGCATCATTAGTATTTTTATTAGGCCTGAACCCAAACTGACAGGGGATGAGTATGTTGTGGGAGATGAGGTAGGAATAGATTCGCTTATGAATTAATTTTTCGAAGATTTTAGAGAGAGGGTGTAAGTTGGATATTGGCCTATAGTTGTTCAAGTCTGTTTGGTCTCCTCCTTTATGGATCGGGGTGACCCTAGCTATTTTGAGAACTGTAGGGAAGGTAGAGGATTCAATGGATTTGTTAAAGAGTGTTGCAATGATTGGTGACAGCACTTATGACGCTTTTTTGTATATAAAGGGTGGTAAGGTATTTAAATCTCCTGTCTTGTTTTTTAGTGTGTTGACAATAAGGGAGACTTTTGTTGGGTTAGTCGGAGCTAGGAACAGTGTGTTCGGGTAGTTGCCAGTGAGGTAGTCATTTGGTGGGGTATTTGAGCTTGGGATTTTATTGGCAAGGTTTTTTCCTATGGTGGAGAAGAAATCATTGAGTCTGCTGTTTCAGTTGGAGGGAGTTGGGGTTCATCTGGTTTCGTTAGTTCAATTGCGCTATTTCGTGATATCTTTTTTGTTCCTAGAATTTCTGATAGGGTTTTCCAGGTCTATTTATATCACCTTTTAAGTTGAATAATCTGTTCTCATAATACAATTTTTTTTAATATTTTAGCCTTCTTATCAGGCTGGTTAGGATTAACGAGTAACGTATTGTTTGGTCTCTGGTTATGTGACCCATTCTGTACTGTTTTTCGTATAGGTGCTTTGTATTTATGGATTTGAGGATGCTGGGTGTTAGCCAGGGACTGTTCAGTCTCTTAGCTGTCATCTGTTTAGTTTTTTCAGGGCAGTGCTTGTTACAGAGGTATTGGGTCTTATTTAGAAAATTATCAATACATTCGTCAATATCTCTATAGATTTCTAGCTCAGTGTGCCAGTCAATGTTTGTCACTGCTGTTGTGAAGTTATTAATGGCTGCCTCATTGTGAAGTCTGAAAGTGACTTTAGTAGTGTCTTGGGGTAATTTGCCTAGATTAGTTATGAGGAAGGTAGAGTAGTGGTCTGTGGTATTATCTGTGATTATGCTTGATTTTAAAGGGGATATGGTGTTGGTCCAGATGTGGTCTAGTAGGGAAACACTAGTCTCTGTAATTCTTGTAGGTTTTGTTATTGTTGGTAGCAACAAGCAGTTACTCAGTGTTTGTGAATTCAGTAACGTGTGGGTCCTGGTCTTGCAGGAGATTTATATTGAAGTCACCTGAGAGTAGTAAGTGATCTTTATTCATGCGTGCATCAGTTATCATACTTCCTAGGTTGTCACTAAAACGGCTAATGTTTGACTGTGGTACTCTGTAGATGTTTATCACTGTGAGAGATTTTTGTAAGTATTTGGATTTGAATTTAGCTATTATATATTCCCCATGTTCATCCCTTGTGCAAGTATTAGTGATACATTCTACACTTCAACATAACTGTAAGTGACTACTAACAAGATTTGTTTTTACTCCTTGATTTTTCATGTAACAGCATCAAGCCTGACACTCTTCAAAGGTGCTACAATGGCCATCCTGCGGGAGCACAAAGGTGACTACGGCCTCCAGCGACTCTCTGGCAGCCTGGGAGCCATAGTTCTCACTCCACTTTCAGGATTTCTAATTGATATCGTCTCTCACGGGACAGGGAAACAAGACTTCAGGTGTGTATATGCTACTTATTTTTTTATCTACATAGGGTATTAACTCAGACTCCACTTTACCTCTTGGGAAACTGCACATATACTAAAGAAGAAGAAAAAGAAGAACAAGAAGACTTCACCTAATTGCGCTATTGAGGATTTTAAATATGGCGTCAGTCAGTGTTCTGGATATTTTCAGTGACTTGCCGCACTGACAACCATGTACACCTGTATGCGTACATGCATATAAACTGAAGATATGATGGAAGAAGTGGGAGCAGCTAGAGACAAGGAAATCTGTTCTGTTTAAGGGTAGAGGCGTGTGAAGAGGGAAGGACAAGGCTGTCATGAACTGCGTTTAAAAAGTAAGAAATGAGGAACCTACTAATAAGAAGGAAAGTGAATCTGGAGGGAAACTCGAAGCTTTGATATAGTGTAGGTCAGGAAATTAAGATGGAAGAGGAATGAAGAGCAGGAAGAGAAACTTGGGAAAGGAAAAGGAACAGTATTGTCATTTTCTTAAAAATGCTCGTTCGTGAAGACTGTTACTCTAAACGGGAGAAGAATGAAATTAGTTTGTAGCTTTCCACAGCCATGTATGTGCTAGCATCAGGAGCTACACGTCCAGTGATACTGAGCATCTGATGTTTGAAGCATTAATCAATACCACTCGTTACAGTACGGTATATGCTGCTTGTGGAGGCTAGTGCACCAAATGGGGAGTAGAATGAAATTAGCTCTAAGTCACCCACATCATCGTATGTCCATGGATCACAGTACAACACCTAGCTCTTCTGGGTACATGATTCTTGTAAGATTGTATGATCCTGTGGGTTAGTGTAGTGAATTTTTGCTCACCATGAGGTGGGCTAAAACAACACGGATTCAATCTCCCGACTAGTCGCAGTGCTGTTATATATATAATATATATATATATATATATATATATATATTATATATATATATATAATTATATATATATATATATATATATATAAAATGGATAAAAAGGCTTCAAGGAAGAATATTTGGATTTCTTCCTGAAGCCGTTTGAATATTCCACTTCCCCTGCCACCCATCTTTTCATATATATATATATATATATATATATATATATATATATATATATATATATATATAATATATATATATATATATATATATATATTATATTACCAATAGGAATATTTTATTACATAATATGGTACAGAAGATTTAAGAGATACATTGTTGATATAATATATATGTCGTGCCGAATATGTAAAACTGGTCAATTAGCAAGAACTCATTTAAAATTAAGTCCTTTCTGAAATTTTCTCTTATACATTTAAAGATATATTTTTTTCATTAATGTTAATGTAAAAATTTATAATTTTGCACCAAAAGAATCTTAGAAAACTTACCTAACCTTATTATAACAAGAACAATTTATTTTAGCCTAACCCAACTAAATATATTTTAGATATGTTTACAATAATTTAATACTAAACAAACAGTGAAATATATTTTTTTCGTTAGGTTCAGAATGATTTTGGCGAAATTATTGCATAAACCAATTTTCACTTGTCCTATATAGCAAGATGAGCGTTGCTATTTAAGCCAAGATCGCAAGTTCTGCCTATTCGGCACGACATATATATATATATATTATATATATATATATATATATATATATATATATTATATATATATATATATATATATATATATATTGTTGATATAAAGGTGGCATATACGGTACATGTTGTTACGTGTGTATCACCGATTATAAGGCGAAAATCTCATCCAGTTCCTCAGAGCTGGGGCGTGTGCCCAAAATGCAACATGCATTACCCCTTTGAACAGCCGCACTGAGCCGCTGGAACAGAAAACTAGCTGCCCTGGGATCCCTAGTTACCCTGATGAGTCTTTTTCCCAGCTCCTTAAGGAAATTAGATGCACTCTTTCCCCATGAGCCAAGGGTCTCTGAGCCTATGGGAACAAACATATAATGATGGGCAAGTTCTCCATATTTTCTAGACTTTTGGGACTCCCTAAAGCTGGCAGCTGCCCCTCCTTCCTCCCTGGTGTATTGGAGATAGGTATCAGCCAAGGTAGATGCACATGTATAGTCCCACACCACCTGCTTCCCATCTGTCCAGGCTTGAAGGGTGATACCATCTGGACGCTTCTGGCTGCCGTCAGATCTGCATAGTTGGGGTGGCTCCCTTACTGCTGGGCATCCAGCTGTTGTGAGGCTCCTCTTGATAATGTTATTAACCTCCTCATGTCTTGCAATCTTTCCCTCGGATTTACGGCACACAAGACCATGGTACCCGAATCGGTCTGCTGCTTCACTGCCACAAATACACCTGTGTTCGGCGAGAATAGGGGCGGCAAGTCGAAGGGCAACACCGATGCGGATGGCCTGTGGGTCGAGGCGTGTGCCAAGGCTGGAGTTGGGAACAGCCAACAGAAAGTCCCCAGCATGAGGGGCTCTCACTGCCAGCAGGCGGGCTCTATCCTTCCCTGACACACTCTGAAGCATCGTTGAGGCTATATTTTCCACTATTGGACCATCCCAGTGCGATTGTTTGTAGTTGTTGGGGGGAGCAGGTCTGGTTTCTGAGCCCGTTAGATTATCCCATATCATTGCTCCGTCAATGAATTTTTGGTCCTGGGCTCCAATCTTGTCCCTAAGATGTTCAGGGAGAATCGCTGCTACAAGCTCTCTGGATGCAATACACGAGGACAGAAAAGCAGGTAACGCAATCTGTGAGGACTTGCGGACACCAATGCCTCCCAGTCTGACTGGAAGTGTAGCTTGGTTCCACTGCCCGTCTTCTAGAGTAAGGTTAAGTACTTTCGTAAAAATCTGCCTCAGAATACTGTCATATTCGTGCAGTATAGGGTTATCATATGAAGGTGCACATCTTAGGAAATATGTCAACCTGGGCAGACTCAAGCACTTTGTGAGAAGGTACAAGGCATCGTGGGTGTCCAGATTGCCTATTCGTTGTTCCATTCTCCTTAACTCTTCCAATTTCTTCCTGAGAATTGTGTCAATGGCATTGCTTCCCAGAGGTGCTCCTAGCAATATATATATATATATATATATATATATATATATATATATATATATATATATATATATATATTATATATATGATACAAAACAACCACAGGGGGAGTAGAATGATAGTCCTGGCCTTTCATGTCTCAATCAATACATCAGGAGCTTGCAAAATTGCAGAAAAAAAAAGAAGGATGTCTGAGCTAATACGATCCCAGAGGATGCATTCACTGGAGTAAGGGAGGGAGGGAGAGAAGGGCAGGAAGTGCCTCCAGGCATACCAGTGCCCATAGGCAGAAGGATGAATATTATAGCATTAGCTGCCTTGCTGGCAGCTAAGAAAACTTATTATGGAACAGAACCTAAGATAACGCCTCACACTAAGAAAGTGTTGGTCCTCTCATACAACGAGAAGTTCTCTCTCCTGCCAAACGCCCTTAAAAGATTTAATATACAAGTAGTATTTAAAAATTCATGGACTGTTAGAAGCATTCCGATAAAGAACTCAACCCAACAGCATGCTGGTGGTGTTTTCAGAATTGGTTGCAACAGCTGCAGTCTCTCCTATTTGAGACAGATAGGAAAACCATTAGAACTGAGAATTTCATAACACCATTATTCAGTACATATAGCACAGGAGTCGAACGTGATTTTCAACCACATTAGAGCTAGTAATAACCTGGAAAACTGGCAGGAAGCAAGAGTCATCTTCCTTTGTTCCTTTTGGCTCGAAAGGAATATTGTAGAATCAGCAGTTATTAACCATGATAAGCATTCATTATACAATATTAGTGATGGGTTGTTCAAATTAGATGCATTTTTAGTTGAGGCAATAGTACACAGTAAAATATTGGGCTCTTGCATTAGATTGTCCTAAATGTAGTGCCACACCTAAGAATTAGGGGCTATTTTTCCTGCAGTTTCTGAAGGTTGAACCAGAGTTTGCCTCAGAATCATGTGGGATGAGTAACTGTGGCTGCCTTCCTTGTAATTACAGATGCCTCCCTCTTTAAATGAGTTTATTTTAATGAGCTCCATTTTTCTTTGTATAACTTTTAGAAGTCTCCCCTTTAAATGTTCCCATTTTCTCGTCCCTTTAAATGGACCCACTGTGGGTTAAGGCATCATGTGGTTCTGGCTAATCATGAGGCGGGCCAGTGCAACATGGGTTCGAATCCTTGGCTAGCGCAGTGTTATTGATATATATGTATATACATTATATATATATATATATATATATATATATATATATATATATAATAATATATATATATATATATATAATAATATATATATATATATATATATATATATATATATATATATATATATATATATATATATATATATATATATGCAATAAGATCACAGTAAACAGGTGATTTCAGAATATGCAAAACAACCACTGTGAGAGAAAAGAGAAATTCCAAGCACTTTCGTGACTACTCACATTATCAAGGAACAATGTTCCTTGATAATGTGAGTAGTCACAAAAGCACTTGGAATTTCTCTATTCTTTCACAGTGGTTGTTTTGCATATATATATGTATATATATATATATATATATATATATATATATATATATATATATATATATATATATATATATATATATATATATATGTCGTGCCGAATATGTAAAACTGGTCAATTAGCAAGAACTCATTTAAAATTAAGTCCTTTCTAAAATTTTCTCTTATGCGTTTAATTAAAGATACATTTTTTCATTAATGTTAATGTAAAAAAATTTAATTTTGCACCAAAAGAATCTTAGAAAACTTGCCTAACCTTATTATAACAAGAACAATTTATTTTAGCCTAACCCAGTTAAATATATTTTAGATTTGTTTACAATAATTTAATACTAACCAAACACAGTGAAATATATTTTTTTCGTTAGGTTCAGAATGATTTTGGCGAAATTATTGCATACACAAATTTTCACTTGTCCTATATGGCAAGATGAAC